CGGGGCCGGGACCCGGGCCGCCGTCGGGGGGCGCGGCGACCCGGAGTCCGCTGGTGAAGCCGCCCTATTCATACATCGCGCTCATCACCATGGCCATCCTGCAGAGCCCCAAGAAACGCCTGACGCTGAGCGAGATCTGCGAGTTCATCAGCGGTCGCTTCCCCTACTACCGGGAGAAGTTTCCCGCCTGGCAAAACAGCATCCGCCACAACCTCTCGCTCAACGACTGCTTCGTCAAAATCCCCCGCGAGCCGGGGAACCCGGGCAAGGGCCCGCCCTATTCATACATCGCGCTCATCACCATGGCCATCCTGCAGAGCCCCAAGAAACGCCTGACGCTGAGCGAGATCTGCGAGTTCATCAGCGGTCGCTTCCCCTACTACCGGGAGAAGTTTCCCGCCTGGCAAAACAGCATCCGCCACAACCTCTCGCTCAACGACTGCTTCGTCAAAATCCCCCGCGAGCCGGGGAACCCGGGCAAGGGCAACTACTGGACGCTCGACCCGGAGTCGGCGGACATGTTCGACAACGGCAGCTTCCTGCGGCGCCGCAAGCGCTTCAAGAGGCAGCCGCTGCCGCCGCCGCATCCACACCCGCACCCGCACCCGGAGCTGCTCCTGCGCGGCGGGGCTGCAGCCGCTGGGGACCCTGGCGCCTTCCTCCCTGGCTTCGCCGCTTACGGCGCCTACGGCTATGGCTACGGGCTGGCGCTCCCAGCCTACGGCGCACCCCCACCCGGGCCGGCCCCGCACCCGCATCCACATCCGCACGCCTTCGCTTTCGCTGCCACCGCGCCTTGCCAGCTGTCAGTCCCCCCCGGCCGCGCCGCGGCGCCTCCACCCGGACCCCCGACGGCCTCGGTGTTCGCAGGCGCAGCCTCTGTTCCTGCGCCTGCCCCGGGGTCCGGCCCAGGCCCCGCAGGGCTGCCCGCCTTCCTAGGCGCAGAGCTGGGCTGCGCCAAGGCTTTCTACCCCGCATCCTTGAGTCCTCCCGCAGCCGGCACAGCGGCCAGTCTGTCCACTGCACTCCTGCGCCAGGGCCTCAAGACGGACACCGGCGGTGGTGCGGGAGGTGGGGGCGCCGGGACAGGCCAGAGGCCTTCCTTCTCCATAGACCACATCATGGGCCACAGTGGTGGCGGGGCAGCACCCCCGGGTGGCAGCGACGGCTCCCCCGGATCGCCATTCGCGGCAGCCGCGGGGCCTGGGGGTCAAGCCCAAGTCTTGGCCATGCTGACTGCCCCGGCCCTGGCTCCGGTGGCCGGCCACATCCGCCTCTCGCACCCGGGGGACGCACTCCTGTCTTCAGGGCCTGCGTTTGCCGGCAAAGTCGCTGGCCTGAGTGGCTGCCACTTTTGACCACAGCGGACCCAGGGCCAGTTAGGCCCTCACTCCTCATCCTCTCCCTGGAGCTCCTTTGGTCCCAGCGGAATTCAGGGAGTCTATTTATGAAGTCTTCAGACCTAGGCCAGTGCGTGGTCAGGCACTTCAGGCTCCATGCTCCGAATGCCACCGACAGTTGGGACGAAGCGGGCTCCAGCGCTCAGGGCGAGGTCCGGGTCTACGCTAATAGGTCGGAAGCCGAGATCCCATTTCTCTGAGCAGCAAAAGAAAGAGGAGGAACCTTCGTTTTTTCCTGCCTCTGCGCCTCTCACAGGCGGAGAAGAATGCTTTCGCAGAGTAATGCCAGCCAATTCGACCGGTGGATCCCTCCAGAAAGACCCATGGCGCTGAAAAGTCTCCCTTTCTTCTTCCTCCTCATTTCTTCCTCAACTTTGAGACCCTGCTTGTCCAATATTATAATTTAAAAACATCTATTATCTGCTTTGTGCATAAGAGAAGAATTCAATTTTTTCCTTTTTCTGTTTTCCAAGGAAGTTGGTTCCCTCTACGCCTAAAGCAGTCTACACAGGAGAAACCAAAAGGAGAGGTGAAACAGGGGTCTGTCTCCACAATCCCTGAAGAAACCACGAAGCCCAGCCCGCTGAGGAAAATCTTTCCTCTTTGGTGTTTGGGTGCTTTTAAAGGAACTTCCCCTGGCCTTTCCCGTGGGCCATAAACTCAGCCATCTAGGGCCGCAGCCTTCCTGGCCTTCTCTGCCCCAGGCCCTGTGATATTTATTGTAGTTAAAGGCAATGAGTATGGGTGGGAGAGGAGGGTCTGGGTCAGGGAGTGGAGAGGTGGGAGTTGGGTGGGCAAGGGAACAGAGCTGCAGCAGGGGGTCCTATAATTATGTGTAAATATCTGTACAGTGGGCTACCCTCTGCGTTCTCTGTCCACTGCTGTGCATTGATTTAGATTTCTCCACTAGAGGAGACTGTGAAATTGTCTGATGGTCTGTGTGGAAGAAAAAATCTGTCTCCCCTCTCCCATCCCATTGGTGTCAATTGAATAAATGTATGTGAACTTCAGCAGTCACCAGCTCAGTCTGCTTGCCTGTACTCCCCTGTCCTTATCAGGGATCTCCCAGAAGACCCCAAGCTCTCCGGCAGAGGGAGAGTAAGAGCTAGACAGGCAAATGAAGGTTTGAGCTAATCAGATAGTGGAGGCACTGTGCAGTGTGCTGCCTGGCCTTCTGCTTTGCATGGGCCAGGTCTCTAGAAGCTGGTGACCACTTCTCCACTTTCATTTTCACTCTGGTACTAGGAAGGGTTTGGTCTGGGGCTGGGCAGAAGGATTTTCTCATTTCCACTGTAGCTGAGGAGTCTCACTTCCTTCTATTTTAGATTTTTAGCATGGCCTGGGCAGATCTAGTTGAAAGTACTCTTGAACAATCTACCCACTGAGTATAAGGCCATGTCTCTTGAAGCATATTTTGTATGCCCTGTGTTTCTGGGGCCTTTAAGGAGTTTGTGGTTTGTTTTTGTGTTTGTCTTGCTTTTTGACTTGTGTGTGAGAATTGTATTTCAGGGATATCTTTGCTTTTATTTGTATGTGTCCATGAATGTGCTTATGACTATCAATCACTTTCTTTAATAGGAGAGTGTTTCTTGGCCACTGTAAGGCCTTTATGACCCCCCACTCCCACACTCTTCTATAAGATTTTGTTTAGGGACTCTCTAAATTGAATTAGAAACCTCACCCTGTCTAGCTTGAGTGGGTTGGAGGGTATGACAACTAAAGAGCCATGGCTAAGGTCTTGGTCCCTGGAGCCATGCTCATAGCTAGGAGCTACTGCATGGGTGCAAATCCTTGGTCTGGTTGGAGTCTTCTACAGCCCATTGAGCCTTCGGCTCTCTGCTTACTGCTTGGGACTCCCAGTAGCTAGTTTGCAGATACAGTGGGTGAGGTGATGCTTTGGGTGGAACAAAGATGGTTACTCCTTTTTCTGTACATTCTACTGAGATAGGAGAGAAGTAAGAGTGTGCAGGAAGCAGTTCAGCCTTCACAGAAAACTGACACATGTCAAGGACAAAGGTTGGAAGACAAGTGACAGAGAAGAAAGAAGACAGGTCAAAGATGCAGAGTGTGGGCAAGAGAAGTTACTTAGGACTCTAGCTAGCATCCCACAAGTGGTAATAATGAGGAGAAAGGAGAAGGTGTGGGACAGAGGCCTCTGTGGAAAGAGAATTGACTCAGGATGAGAGTTGCGAAGAATATCGGAGCTGTGAGCTGGGAAAGAGTTTGAGATTCCTCCCTTCCTCCCAGAGGCTGGACTTAGAGCTTAGTATGGTGAATAGAGTCCCTCTGCTAGAGGCCAGAGGTTCCTCTCCTCCATCTTGCTGAAAGACTAAGGGTCAGGGGAGATCAAATGCAGTAGGCTAGCTTTCCACCATTTTATCAAACAGTCCAGAAGTAAGGTTAGGTTCAATGGTCCGAAGTGGGAAATGTCTGCTAGTACAGGGATAATGGTGTCTGGCTGGTTGCTTCTCTGACTTTCATTGCTCCAAGTTTGATGAGTATGGTTTCCTTTCTTTTTACTTGAAGAAGGGTGAATGTGACTAGGTATGTGATCTGGTTGTGCATGCACCTGCATACATGCGTGCATGCGTGTGTGTGCATGCATGCGTGTGTGTGTGTATGTGCACACGCACATACTGGAGACTGTGTTTGCTCTGAAAAAAAAAAAAAGGACTTTTCAACTATGTGATCTCATTTACCACAGATATTTCACCCCCTAGGTACTAGGTTGGAACTTTAAGGAAAAGACTTGGGTGGCTGCGTGGGGTGTGTGCATTTGCAACCGCAAATACTGGCACTTTGGTTTGCTCTGAAAAAAAAAAAAAGGACTTTTCAACTATGTGATCTCATTTACCACAGATATTTCACCCCCTAGGTACTAGGTTGGAACTTTAAGGAAAAGACTCATCAGCTGGTTTTTACTCTAGAAGAGATAAAGGCAGGCAAAATTCATGTTGGATGGTAGATAAGTAGCTGAGATAATAGCCACAAACTGCTACATACAGGAGAAGTGACTGGATTAGTTGATATCTGGCGGGGGATCTGGGTTAGGGTCAGGAAAAGGTAGAAATATAGAACTGCGGAAAAGGAGTCAGATGTTTAACAGTCTTCTAGGCCCTAGAGGTCCTGGACCCATGACTCAGACCAGACCCTTGTTTTCTAGTGAGAAGGCCAAGCCTGGTCTAGAGAAACCACTAGTGCCCAGCTGGCAGCCCTGGAGGTGGTTCTGGATGAGGAAAGCCAGGGTGAAGGGAAGGTGTTTTGGACCCCATTAGGTTGTGTTCATAAGAACCTGTCAGAAGCCAGGAACTGGGATACAAGAAGAATGTAGTTGCAATATTTGTGAGGTAGAATCCTGGTTTCCCCTTCAGAACTAGAGGTGCTCATTTAGCGACTCTTTCCTCATCTAGGGGTGAATAGGGCTGGCGATGGGTCACTTAGTGGCCCATGGTCTCGGGAGGTGAAACAGATCTTCCCCTGTGAACGGCTTCCTAAGGTTCCCTTCCACCTGGGTGAGGTCTGATGGCCCACAGGTACCTACAATTGGTAACAATAATAAGAAAATATTCAGGGCACACCTTGATTTCTCCAAGGTGAGAAAAAAAAGTGGTAAGAAATCAGCCTGGGGTTCAGAGAGTGCTGTTGAGAGCGGGCAGTTTAAAGGGGAAGAAAATTGGCGAATTTCACTGGTCAATTTCACTTCATTTCGTTCAATTTCGTTCAATTTCATTCCTTTTCATCCGGCGCCGGGAGGCCGGAGGCCACAGGAGGGGGAGGGGGTCTTTCCGGGCAGAATTTTTCCTTCTTGCAGATTTAGTTTCTACAGCTGTGAGGAACAGTCTTGATACTCCAACTTTGATATTCGTTTTTCAGCCGTGGCTAAGGGCGGACATTTTATTTTATCAGTGAGTATTTGATTTGGGTGATCCGGCCCATCGGCAAGCCTGCCGGCCCTTCTCGGTTGCGACCCAATTAAAGCGGTTAATTCTTTTCACCGCCTATCCCTCCCGATCCTTCTTTCTTTCTCTAGGGGCTCCCCAGACCACCCAGGAGTCGGGAGTGTGTGTGTGGGGACACTTCCCCTAGACATCCAATTTGTTCTCGGTACAGCAGGCGCGTCTTCGTGGTTACAAAGCGCTTTTCTCTCCCCGATGACTTTTTTCCCCTTTTCAAAAACACGTCTACCTCCTTCCCCCCTCTTCAACTAGCAACCCTCCCCGACACACCCCTCCTCTCTCACCGGTAGGGTTTATTTAAACTTCGCCTCCTCCAGCGCCGCGGTAGCGCTCTCTCAATGAAATTAAAGGCTCGGTGAGCTGGGGTGAAGAGGGTTTGGAATCTGTTGAAAGGGGCGTTTTGTGACACTGATTGGGGAGGGAGGTGGGGGCAGTCGGGGACGGACAATGACCAGGCAGGAGGGTTTCCCTGCGCCCAGGGTCAGGCGAATAAAGGCGCCGACGTAGTTTAAAGGAGGGTCCCTGCTAGAGAAAGAGAGAAAAGGTTTTGAGTGTGGAGCGTGCCTCGTAAGCTTGCGGCTTAGGAAGCGGTGGGAGGAGGCTGTGCGTCTCGGTCTTCCCGGACTGGATTTGGTTTCCTCTCAATCCCGCACTTTCCACGGAAGAGAGGCGAGGCAAGTTTGGGTTTGTTCCTAAATTATTTCCATACAGAGTTCAAAAAGGTTGTATAGGCTGGGGTTTGGGAAGGCATCCAGGAGGGCCACCAAGGACGAAGAAACCCACACCTGTCCCTGGGGCTGGCGCGGTGAAGTTTCGGGAGAGATGTGGACAGGTGGGCAGGATGGGTGGCGCCGTTCAGTCCCCTAAGCTGTCGTCTGTCCCGGTGTTTGAGGGCAAACAAACGCTTGGATTTGGGGAACCGAGTGCTTTTGCTTTTTAAAAGCCGGCGTCAACGCGCAATGACGGAGAGAGCTGCAAGGAGGACGGAGGTTGGAGCTCGGGTTTTGAGAACGAACTTTTTCGGGGCTGGAGGGCGCGGCGGGGTGCGGGGCGGAGCGGGCGCCGCCTCCTTCCCAGCCCGCCCGGCAGCGGCGCGAACGGCTGTCACGCAGACGAAGACGGCGGGAACGAAGGTTTCCTCCGAGCGCTGCACC